CTCGCGTTTTTTTTTTGGTCATAAAGTGAGCGTTGTAATTTTACTATCCTTGTGAGTTACTTTTGTCAAACATACAATAGGGGTCTTGTTTTGGAGAAAAAAATCAAGTTTTGTATTATTTTTTGCAATTCTCCTATGTATTTTTTAATTTCTAGGATTTGATAAATATCATATTTTAAGATATGAAATATTATTGAATGTAGAAATTGATAATAGAGTTATGAATGTGTGAGATCCGATATTGATGTTTGATGATTGAACTTTACATTTTGTTTAATTATAATATAGAAAAAACAAATGTAAAGTATCGTAGAGTTAAAAAATTGCCAATAATAAAGGGTGATTTGTCATAGTAACCTTAAATATATGTATAATAGCCAAAAATAACCTATCTATATATTTTTAAGATTTTCATAAATTTTTTTCCTTTAGTACTCTTGAGTATATCATTATGAATTATTACGTAAAAACGAAAAAACAAACTAATTAATAAATGAAAATATAATTAAAAATGAAATAAAATTTGTTTGAAGAAAAACATAAATGCAACAATCGCTTGGTTTGAAAAAAAAAAACGTTTAGGTACAAGGAAATCTAATAGTTTTTTTGAAAATTATCGTCTTCTCCATCGATCTAACTTTTTAGTAGGTATGAATTTAAGTCTATGTTTTGTTTTTAATTATATTTTATTAAAAAATAATATATTATTGATTTGTACCATCTTACCAATTTTTGTTTTGCAGATTTCTCAGTTTATTTTTTTATCATCATAGTGAAAGAAGGAAATCACATTTTCAATAATCAAGATCCCATGTTCATAACAATGCATGTAATTTCTTAAATTTGTACGAGTTTTGAAGATTTATGTAGGATAGGCAACTGTTTAGCAAATTAAATGATAATTTGGTAGACTAAAATACTTTTCGCAGACTTTAAAATATTTTAGCAGAATATGTATAAGTTTTTTTTGTAGATTTTAAGTGATTTTAATTTTAATTTCTATCATTTTTTGGCAAATTTTTCAATTTTTTTAGCGGACTCTTCGGAGTTTAGATACGGATTTTGCGAAAATCTTTTAAAGTTTATGGTAATTTTAAAATTTAGTCTATTGGTTTTTCATTCTTTACATAGTCTTCAAATTTTTGACAGTCTCTTCGAAGTTTTGACAGATTATGTGAAAATCTTCCAAAGTTTCCGGCAGACTTGAATTTCTGACTGTTCGTTTACCATTTTTTCAGCAGATTCTTCAAATTTTTGGCAGATTCTCTGGAATTTTGGCAGATTCTACAAAAATCTTTCAAAGTTTTACTGCAGACTTGAAATAAGCCTGTTGGTCTACCATTCTTTCAGCAGACTCTCTAGAGTTTTGGTAGATACAGTGAAAGTCTTCCAACGTTTCCAGCAGATTTGAATTTCAGTCTGTTAGTCTACCACTCATTCAGCAGACTCTTCAACTTTTTGGCAGACTCTCCAGAGTTTTGCCAAATTCTGCAAAAATCTTCTAAAGTTTCTGGCAGACTTGAATTTCAGTAGGTTGGTCTACTATTCTTTCAGCAGACTCTTCGAATTTTTTGCACTCTCTGGAGTTTTGGCAGATTCTGCGAAAATCTTCCAAAGTTTCCGGCATACTTGAAATAAGTCTGTTAATCTACCAATTTTTCAGCACTCTTTAAAATTTTGGCACCCTCTCCAGAGTTTTGGTAGATATGATGGAAGTCTTCCAACGTTTCCAGCAGACTTGAATTTAAGTTTGTTGGTCTACCGTTCTTTTAGCAGATTCTTCAAAATTTTGGCAAACTCACCGAAGTTTTGGCAGATAGTGCGAAAATCTTTCAAAGTTTCCTGTAGACAGGAATTTCAGTCTGCTGGCCTACCATTCATTCAGCAGACTCTTCAAATTTTTGGCAGACTCTCCTGAGTTTTAGCAGATACGGTGGAAGTCTTCCAATATTTCCAGCAGACTTGAATTTCAGTCTGTTGATCTACCATTCTTTCAGCAGACTCTTCAAATTTTTGACACTCTATGGAGTTTTGTCAGACTCTATGGAGAAAGTGGTGCCATTGATGAATGTGGTGAAAATGTAACACATAGATTATCTCTCTTAAAGTGAAAAGCGCGAAGAAGATGGTAAACAAAGTGGATATATGGCTGGTAATTATGAATCTTCTTCGGATATATCGGTCCATGGGGAGTCTAAAGAGCCATTGGGTGGTGGCATACAAATCACACAAACTACTTCACAGACCTTATAAGGTATTAGGGTCGAACAATTATATAACAGCAAGATAGAGTTACAACGTAAGTTGTGCCTAGTCACGATTTTGCAGAATTTTGATTACACAACTTACAAGTCGACCACAATTATACTAGTGCTGAAGTGTTAAAGAACTTTTCACCATTCCGGTGAATTTTGCAATTTTGGAGAATTTTTTTCACTATTCCAGTGAATACAGTTGATTCTGATTCCGAATACCGTTTACCCTGTCATGAAAGAAGAAAAGAGTTACTCGTGAAAGAATAGGAAATAAATAACGATAAGAAGCAGAAATATTTTAATCGTAAAAGTGAAAGAAGAAAAAGTTATTTTGAATTCAAAAATAAAATATATTCTAAAACTTCGACAATAATTTTCGAATTTCCTCTTTAAATAATGGTAATGAGTGTTCAGTATCAAAGACTTTATTAAAATATTAGTTTAGAAATTATAAAATTACTTAAATGATTAATAGTTTATATGAATAATAACAAGATTAGTAGGTTATTGTAGCTATTTTTTTAGAAGTGGGTTATTATAGATCATTTTCCCAATAAAGAATCTATTGCATAAGCTTATCTTACACATGTAAGCTGAACTTTTTGTGAAGAATAAATAATAACTTGAACATTAGCTTATCTTAGTATATTTTTTTCTCAGTCTTTGTCTGCATACTTATTAATCTGAAAGTTTATTTTATTTATCTAATATATCATGGTGAAACATAAAACCGTATATATTTTAATAAAGTATAAAATAATTACTATCAAAAATATTAAACCAGAATTTTAACGTTTACTATCATAAAACATCTTATAATTATATTAGATACTAAATGATTTTACATTCTAAAGTGACTAATGTTTTTGTTTTCTTGGCTCAGAAGGTCACACAATTGCCGTACTATTGATTCTTATCAAAAATTCAGTATTGAAGATATATGATATGTCCACTACCAAAAGTGTTATGCGTTGAGGTTTTCTCAATGTTTGAATAAGATACTTAAATTTGAGTTTTACCTTGATTTTCTTAATTTATTTTAATGTTTCAAACCAGGATTTTTCTTAATCTTTTCTTTTTAAAACACGATATATGTCAAATTTGATTAAAAGTTTCTTTTATTAAAGTTTATATATTTTTAGATTATTAATGTTTGATGTTTTTGATAAAAAATAATCTAAAAACTAGTATTTGGAAGACTATACAGATTTCTGATACAATTAATTTTGCATCAAATGGAGGACTTTCTTGAAGTTTCTCTCAATATTAAGATTATTTAGGTTATTGTTATAATTTACCAATTCTATAGAAAATATGTTTCGGCTGTAAAAATACAAAAACTAAAATGGTAGCTTTCTACATTTGTTGACTGACTTCTCAGTTTTAGAAAGTCATTTTTATATAATATATTACAACTAAGGTGGGGGTATTGGATGGTTGATTTTAAGGGAATACAAAAGAATTAGAAAATAATTGATTTTGAAGTAATTTATAGTTTTTGTTGAGAATTTAAATCAATTCTATCAAAATGACAGCAAAAATAGTGAGAATTGGTTTTTTACAATTTTTCATTATAATTTTATTAAATTCCTTTAAAATGACAATAGCATAAGAAGAACACTAAAATTGAATAACACCAACAATTAATGGAATCAGAAAATCACTACATTGAATAACACTAAAATTTACAGTAATTTAAAAGAATGAGTTCAAATATTGAATCCAATAACACATAAATTTAAAAGAATTTGTGAAAAACAATATTGAATAACAATAGAAAGCCTAATTCCTTCTAATTCCATTAAATTCCTTAATTGAATATCTCCCCCTAAATATTTTTAATATATTGCAATTAATACATATCAATTTTGACTTTGAAAGTTCATATATGGACAAAATCTAGTATCAACATAGTAACTTTATAATATCTTTGACTTAAAAAATATCTTGAACTAATTTATTGGTAAAGAGATTCTAGTATGTATATAAATATGCATTCATATGATTTTGAAAACAAGTTAAAAGAAAAACTCTCACAATATAACAGAAAGCATAGCCTACAATTTATTCTATCTAGTTCTGCGAGAGTATTTATCTCTGGATTACAAATCCAAAAGCTAAAAACAAAACTGTATTGGAAGGGGAAGTATCAAGTACGAGTTTTTTGGTTCTTTAAAATATTTATTTTTCCTCTGGATAACGATAATTTATTCTTTTGTAGTATTTATCAGTGATCAATTTTTAGGTTTCCTAATTTATTCATGCATTTATCTAATGTGATATAAAAATATGTTTAGAATGGATGATTAGCATATATACGTATCATTACCCTAAAAAAAGCCATGAAGAAGTATCACAAGTATAATTTACCTAAAATTAACATATACTATGAAAATTAGTATCATTATAACTTATATACTTTAGATGTTTCAGGTTGTTTTAGAACCCTAAATTATAATAGTGTAGTTTTATTTCTAATTCGATTTTACTGTAATGCTATATATAAATTTTAAAATAAGTTATATTGATATATCAAGTTATCCTATCATTCACACACTATCGCTTCCTTAAATAATTATGATATAATATTACATTATTGGATTGGTATTAACATTTGTTAATCTTTTTTCTAATCAATCTTAATAAAAATAATGTTGACTAAGTAATTGAATCAAGGGTCTATTAATAAAGATGAAAAATGTTTAATTGTGAAGGTTATAAGTTGTGAAGTTGAGTAACAAAGAAATGGAGAGGAACCAAAGAAAACGAAAGAAGGAAAATGCTGAAGAATTGTCAATTGCCAAGGAAAATGAGTTTGAGTGGAAACCAGAGCATTGTGCACGCCCGAAAGGCAAAGTGATTAAAATTACTAATGAGCAAGGAAATGAGAAATGTCATTACGAGAGATTTAAGTTTCGTGGCGGAAAATATGGGCTGGTAAGTCTTGTTTTGTTTTAAGATGATACTAATTTAAATGTTTTGACTATATATTATAATTTTGTTTTAGTCTTTAAAACTTGTTTCCAAATACAAAATAATATAAACAAAACACAATAATTTATAAAAATATAAATGCATTTATGTATCATTTTTTTACACGGAAAAAAAAATTATTAGTTAACGGCAATATTACAACATATAACAATGAAAAATAATCCATAATCTTTAATTTATATGACTGTTTATATATAATGTCTTAATTAGCTTGTGCCACACACAAGACTTCACTACTATATTAATATCGTGAAATTTTTTTAAATGACCCAATAAACCAAAAATTTGTTTTGGATTTAATTGCTTCTGGAGTATTACTATGGTTATTTACATTAAAGTTATATTTTATTTTATTATGCTATAGGAGGACTCAGTGCTATTATTTCCAGAAGACGCATCACAAAACCCATATGTTGCGATTATAAAGGTAAAATTGTAGAAGAAAAAGTTTTTTACATTATTTACAGCTTTTGATTATCATGATCAAACTATTTTTCAACAGGATATTTATGTACAAGGTAAGGAAAGATACGTGAAATTAGAAGTCCAATGGTTTTATCGTCCAGAAGATGTGGATAAAAAATATGTTAGAAATTGGAAATCCAAAGACTCAAGAGACATCTTCTACAGTTTCCATCGCGATGAAGTGTCTGCTGAATCTGTGAAGGATGATTGCACTGTGTATTTTGTGCCAGAGAATAAGCAAGTCTCAAACCATGGCTTTATTGTGCAAAGGGTTTATAATACTGAAAATAAGAAGCTGAGGAAGTTCACTCATCATGATTTTAACGAGCAGCAAAAACAAGAGCTTGATCTTCTTTTAGAAAAGACGATTTCAAGAGTTGGTGATCTTCTTGACATTCAGAAGACGAAACACACTTTTATACCAAGGCATATGGAATTAGTTCCGGAAAGGTTCATTAGAAATGTTGAAAGCACACAACCTGAAAGCATTATTGTGGTTAATGCACCAGATCTTCTTGAAGAAAAGACACTTTCAGGAGTTGGTGGTCATCCTGACAACGAGAAAGAAAAAAAGACTTTGAAATCAAGGCGTAAACAATCTACTCCGGAAAGGTTCATCATTCAAGGTTAGTAAAATTATTATTTTTATTACATTTTTGGTATTTATTTTAGTGTGTACATACGCTGTTTGAATATCTATTATTTGGTAAATATGACACTTTAAAATATGAAATATTGTTAGCAATTGATGAAACAATTATAGATGTGTGAGATCTAACATTGTTATTTGATTATTCAACTTTACACTATGTTTAATTTTAATACATAATCTTTTATGTATCAAGTACTATAAAATCAAAGACTACAATAAAAAATCTATTACATTGTTCTTTAGGAAAATATTAAGCAACTTGCTGTTAGTTAGGTCTTCATAAACTCATGCAATTTAGCAAGGTATTATATCATTACTTAGGACTTTTATATTCTTTAAAGAATTAGCCTAACTAAAACTTAGTTTAAATGTATAAATATTCTTTCAAGTATTGTTGATCATTTACAATAATTTCTAATTGTTTAATCGTATAGCATACTAATATACGCTTAGCATTTCCATTGACGAATTAAAACATAAACTTGATTTTGTTTTATTACCTTTTATTTTTATACTTTCTTTGTATATTTTTTATTATTAAAGTTTATTTTGTTTCTCAACAATATCATGGTGAAACCTAATACCTTCTACATCTAGTTAGTGCAAAAATATTAAACCAGAATCCTAACATTTTTTAGCAAAAAAATCTTTTATTTTTTATTAAATATAAAGTTATTTTCATGCTAAAGCGACTAATGTTTTTTTTTTTTTTGGTTCAGAATGATCTCACAGTTGTTGTAGTATTGATTGTAATCAAAACATCAATATCGAAGAGAGATGACCCATCCACCTCAAAAAATGTTATGCATTGGACTTTTACTACATGTTTGAAGAAGATTTGAAAACTATAGTGATACCTTGTTCTTTTTAGCTTATCTAAAATTTGTAGAGAAAAGTTTTCATAAATATTTCTCTTTTAAAATATGATGCAAATCACATTTTATCTAAACTTTATTTTATTGAAATTTTTGTATTTCTAAACTATTGTCAGAAACAATTAAATTATGAACTCGAAAAACAATATCAGTCATGTTTTTTGAATGAAGTAATTTATTATATTAATATGTCTTGAGGAACCTGAAACTTTTGAAATTTACATTTTATATAGACTATTTTGTTTTCAAACAAAATTAGTCTTATATTATTTTTATAGAACAAATTATCTAGTTTAACTGAATCATCAATAAAAGAAAGCCACATTTCATTTGTGTAATTTGAAAATCTGAAGAAAGATCAATCTAGGTATTAGGGAAGGTTTTCTTGCGCTCAAGTTAGATACCTCCCACATGTGGAGGTACTCATGAGGGTGGTTTTTGTGAGGTTTAGGATGGAACATCATGTTTGTAGATCATACTGTTCATCTCATGTGTGGTGGTGACACAGAAGATCATAAGTCGTCATGAGAGGAGGTTGAAAGACTCTCTTGCCAGGTATAATGCAGAGTGAATAGTTACATACCTCGACTGACATTCTCTTGACGAGTGACTAAGAAAGACATCTCCACAACATGCTGCTGTTCGGTTGAGCTGGCAGAAATTGTCATGATTAGAGGCCTTCATGAGGAAGATAGCAGTGGGATCTTCGACTCGTCCCCGGGTCCGAGAGTATGCGTAGACCTCTATGGGTATTCTACTCTTTTTACTTACATCAGCCTCACCTCTTACGAGCCTTATTGTTCTGTTTATACTCATTGTGCTTTTCTTCTAACTGGCTACACCAATCCTATTGATCAGTCACGTCATCGTGAAACGGAGGGAGACCATCTCCACCGGACTAGCTCTCTACTTGCGGCACCCGCTCCACCCAATCATGAAATCTACTGGGGAGTTGGTATATAAGCTAATAGTTGGGCAGGTTCCTCTGTCGACGTGGCGCTTCCTATTTTGTTGTGGTAAAATCAGCCCTAATACTATTATAGTTTAGGTATTTCAGGGTATTTTAGATCCCTAAATAAAAAATAGTAATTTTTATTTTATTTTAATGGTATTACTATGGATATTTACATTAAATTTAGTTTTATTTATAGAAGGAGTCGCTGCTATTTAGTATTATCGGAAAAAACTATGCTGAGATCATAAAAGTAAAAATATTGAAGAAAATATATTTTGACATGATTTTCAGCTTTTATTTTTTATTATCAAACTATTTTGGACATAATATTTAGGTAGAAGGTAAGAAAGAATATGTGAAATTAGCAGTTCAATGGTTTTATCATCCATAAGATGTGGATAAGAAAAATATGCTGAAAACTGGAAATCAAAATATCCAAAAGACATGTTCTACATTTTCCAGCGCTATGAAGTGGTTGCTGAATCTGTGAAACATGTTTACATTGTGAATTTTGTGCTAGAGAATAAACAAGGCACCAAATATAATTTTTTATTCTGCAAAGGGTTTATAATATAGAAAATAATAAGCTTAGAAAGTTCACTCATACATAATTCAACGAGGAACAGTTACACGAGATTGATCTGCTTGTAAAAGATAGTATCAAAACTTGGTGATCTTCTTGACATTCAAAAGAAAAAAAAAACACTTTATGTTAAAGCGTATACAATCAGTTCCTGAAAGGTTCATTAAGAAAGTTGAGAGCACCAAACCTGAAAGCTTTATTACAGTTAATGCACCAGATCTTTTTGTGGGAAGAACACTTTCAAGAATTGGTGGTCTTAATGGCAACCGGAAGAGAAAGAATACTTTGTGGTTATTTTGAAATTCCATGTTATTCAACTAATTATTTTTAAATATCTTACGAAAATCTATGTTATTGAAAATGAAATTTATCTAAAACCAATTAAAGTCACTTAAAGTTCCATGTTATTCAATAAAGAATTTATTAAAACTAAATCAAATCCACTGTTATTGGAAATATTTTAAATAGTGAATTTTAGAAAATATTAGGTACTTTTAAATTATTTAGTGGAGTTCGCTAGTTAAAAATAAAATAAAAACTAAACTCATTGTTTTAGGTGGGATATCATATAATTTTAATATCAAATCATAACAACTTCTCCAATCCACATAAAATCATCGAAACATTCATTAAAATTCAAATTATATAAAATTATCAAAAATTTCAGTTTCAATACAGCCCCTTTATAAATCAAGGTTCATAGTTCAAAATTAGTTACATTATTTTTTGGCTTTTATTAAGGTGTTTGCTTATGCTGTTTTTAATATCTAAGATTTGGTTAATATCACATTCTAAAATATAAAATACTATTGACTTTGGCAATTGATAAAACAGTTATGGAGTGTGAGATCAAACATTGTTATTTCATGATTCAAAATATTTGATTATAATATGGAATCTATTATATATCAAGTATTTTACATTGTTCTTTAGGGAAATATTAAGCAATTTGCTTTTAGTTAGGTTTTCATTTATACGATTCAGCAAAGTATTGCATCATTCCATAGGAAACTTATATTCTTTAAATAAGTAGCAAACCTAAAATTTAGTTTAGATGCAAAAATATTCTATCAAGTATTGTTGATCATTTACAATGATTGCTAATTGTTTAAGTGTATAACTTACTAATATTAGCTTAGCATTTTCACTGATGAATCAAAACCTAAACATGATTTTGCTTTAATACATTTTATTTCTATACTTTCTTTGTATACTTTTTGATATTAAAGTTTATTTTTTTCTCCATAATATCATGGTGAAACCTAATACATTATACATCTAATTAGCGCAAAAGATATTAAATTGGAATCCTAATATCTATTAGCTAAAAATTCTTTTTTTTATTAAATATATAAAAAAAACTCATGCTAAAGTGACTAATGTTTTTGTTTATTTTGGCTCATAATGTTCTCATAGTTTTTGTAGTATTGATTGTTATTAAAGCATCAAGATCGGAGATAAATGATCCATCCACCTCCAAAAAATGTTATGCATTGGAGTTTTACAAAATGTTTTTAAGAAGATATCAAAACTGTAGTGAGCCATGATATTTTTAGCTTATCTTAATTTTATAATACTTTCATAGAATAAAATATCTAGTTTAACCAAATCATCAATAAAACAAAGTTATGTTTCTTTTGTGTCATTTGAAAACCTGAAGAAAAATCAATCTAGGTATCAATGAAGGTTTTCTGACACTCAAGTTAGATATGTCTGACTAGTTGCAGATACTTATGAGGGTGGGTTTTGTGAGGTTTAGGGTGGGACATCATGTCTATAGATCATAATGATCATCTCATGTTTAAAAGTGACATGGAAGACCATAAGCCATCATGAGAGGAGGTTGAAACATTCTCCTCACAGGTACAATGCAGAGTAAATAGTTACTTACCTTGGCTGGCATTCTTTTGCCGTGTGATTAGGAAAGACATCTCCACAAGATGCTGCTGTTCGGTTGTGCCGGTAGAAATTGTCATGATTGGTGGCCTTTGTGAGGAAGATAGTAGTGGGATTTCTGGTTCGTCCCCGTGTCTGCCCTGAGAGTATGTGAGACCTCTATGGGTATTCTACTCTTTTTACTTCCATCACCTCACCTCTTCTGAGCCTTCTTGTTCAGCTTATACTCATTCTGCTTCTCTTCTAACTGGCTACACCAATCCTATTGATCAGTCACGTCACCGTGAAACTAAGAGAGACCTTCTCCACCGGACTACCTCTTTTCTTTCAGCACCCGCTCCACCCAATCATGAAATCTATCGGGGAGTTGATATAGAAGCTAATATTGGGGAGGTTCCTCTGTCGGCGAGGCGCTTCCTGTTTTATTGTGGTAAAATCAGCTATAATTCTAATATAGCTTAGGCATTTTAGGGTATTTTAGATCCCTAAATTATAATAGTACTTTTTGTATTAATTCCATGTTATTACTATGGATATTTACATTAAAAATATATTTGTTTTATTTATATGAGGAGTCACTGCTACTGGTTACCGATAATTTATCGAATAACGCTACGTTGAGCTCATAAAAGTAAAAATATAGAAAATTTGGCATGATTTTTAGCTTTGATTATTATCATCAAACTGTTTTGGACATAATATTTAGGTAAAAGGTAAGGAAGAATATGTGAAATTAGCAGTCCAATGGTTTTATCATCCATAAGATGTGGATTATGTTAAAAACTGGAAATCCAAATATTCAAGAGGCATCTTTTATAGTTTCCATCGCGAAGAAGTTGTTGAATCTGTGAAACATGTTTGCATTGTTTTTTTTCTGCTTGAGAATAAACAAGTCACAAAACATAGTTTTGTTGTGGAAAGGGTTTATGATATAGATAATAAGAAGCTGAGAAAGTTCGCTCTTACAGATTTCAACGAGCAACAAAAACACCAGATTGATCTGCTTGGAAAAGATGATATCAAAAATTGGTGATCTTCCTGTCATTTAGAAGAACAAAAAACAATTTATGTCAAAGCGTATGCAATCAGTTCCAGAAAGGTTCGTTAAGAAAGCTGAGAGCACCAAACCTAAATGCATTATTGAAGTTAATGCACCAGATCTTCCTGTGCGAATAACACATTCAAGAGTTGGTGGTCTTAATGACAGCCAAAAGGAAAAGAAGACTTTGAAATCAAAGTTCATCTTTCAAGGTTAGTTAAATTATTTTTCGGTTTTTATTTAGGTGTGTGCTTATGTTGTTTTTAATATCTAAGATTTGGTAAATATTACATTCTAAAATATGAAATATTATTGACTTTACAAATTAATATTAGAGTTATGAATGTTTGAGATCCGACATAGATATTTGATGATTAAACTTTACCTTTTAATTGATTATAATATAGAAACAAAAATATGTAAAATATCGTAGAGTTAAAAACTACCAATAAAGAATATATTGTATTAGCTTATCTTATAAATATAAGCTAAACTCTTTCTGAATGATAAATAATAACTTGAATATTAGCTCATCTTAATATCTTTTTTTTTTCTTTGACTTTCTTTGCATACTTATTAATCTGAAATTTTATTTATTTCTCTACAATATCATGGTGAAACATAAATCATTATATATATATAGTAGTAAAGTACAAAATAGTTAAAGCTGAATTTTAATGTTTACTATCACAAAAGATCGTATATTTATATTAAATATTAAATGAATTTACAGGCTAAAGTGACTAATGTTGTTATTTTCTTGGCTCAGAAGGTGACACGATTGTAGTACTACTGAAGATATACGATATGTCCACTTTCAAAGTGTTATGCGTTGGAATTTTCTCAATGTTTGAATAAGATACTAAAATCTTAGTGCTACCTTGATTTTCTTCATTTATCTTAGTTTTTGAAAGCAGAATTTTTTTTAATCTTTTCTTTTCAAAATATGATGCATGTTACATTTTATTTAAAGTTTCTTTTATTAAAGTTTATGAATTTTTAGACTTTTAGTGTTAAATGTTTTTGATAAAAATTATCTAAAAACTAGTATTTTGAATATTGTATCAAATGGAAGATATTCTTAAAGTTTTTCTCAATAGTAAGATTATTTAAATTATTATTATGATTATCCAATACTAGAGAAAATATGTTTAGGCTGTAAAAAAAAATTAAAATTGTTGCTTTCTACATTTGTTGACTGACTACTCTGTTTTAGAAAGTCATTTTTTATAAAATAATACAACCAAACATTTCTAATATATTGCAGTTACATGTATATCAATTTTGACTTTGAAAGTTCATTTATAGATTCAATCTAGTATCCACATAGTAACTTTATAATAGCTTTGACTTGGAAAATACAGTGGAAGTCTTCCAACGTTTCCAGCAGATTTGAATTTCAGTCTGTTAGTCTACCACTCATTCAGCAGACTCTTCAAATTTTTGGCAGACTCTCCAGAGTTTTGCCAAATTCTGCAAAAATCTTCCAAAGTTTCTGGCAGACTTGAATTTCAGTATGTTGGTCTACTATTCTTCCAGCAGACTCTTCGAATTTTTTGCACTCTCTGAAGTTTTGGCAGATTCTGCGAAAATCTTCCAAAGTTTCAGGTAGACTTGAAATAAGTCTGTTGATCTACCAATTTTTCAGCAGACTCTTTAAATTTTTGACACACTCTCCGTAGATTTGGTAGATATGATAGAAGTCTTTCAACGTTTCCAGCAGAATTGAATTTAAGTTTGTTGGTCTACCGTTCTTTTAGCAGACTCTTCAAATATTTGGCAGACTCACCGAAGTTTTGGCAGATAGTGCAAAAATCTTTCAAAGTTTCTTGCAGACTTGAATTTCATATTGCTGGTCTACCATTCTTTCAGCAGACTCTTCAAATTTTTGGCAGACTCTCCTGAGTTTTGGCAGATACGGTGGAAGTCTTCCAATATTTCCAGCAGACTTGAATTTCAGTCTGTTAATCTACCATTCTTTCAGCAGACTCTTCAATTTTTTGACAGACTCTATGGAGTTTAGACAGACTCTATGGAGAAAGTGGTGCCCTTGATGAATGTGGTGAAAATGAAACAGATAGATTTATCTCTCTTAAAGTGAAAAGAGCAAAGAGGATGATAAACAAAGTGGATATAGCTGGTAATTATGAATCTTCATCAGATATATCGGTCTATGGGGAGTCTAAAGAGCCATTGGGTGGTGGCATACAAATCACAAAAACTACTTCACAGATCTTAGAAGGTATTAGGGTCTGACAATTATATAGCAGCAAGGTAGAGTTACAGCGTAAGTTGTGTTTAGTCACGATTTTGCAGAATTTTTGTTACACAACTTACAAGTCGACCACAATTATACTAGTGCTGAAGTGTGAAAGAACTTTTCACCATTCTGGTGAATTTAGCAATTTTGGAGAAAATTTTTCAATATTCCGGTGAATATAGTTGATTCTGATTCCGATTACCGGTTACCCAGTCATGAAAGAAGAAAAGAGTTACTCGTGACATAATGGAAAAAAAAATAACGATAAGAAGCAGAAATATTTTAATCGTGAAAGTGAAAGAAGAAAAAGTTATTTTGAATTCAAAAATAAAATATATTCTAAAAATTTGACAATAATTTTCGAATTTTCTTTTTTAATTAATGGTAATGAGTGTTCAGTAAAAACAAGTATACTAATCAATGGTTTTATTAAAATATTAGTTTAGGAATTATGAAATTACTTAAATGATTAATAGGTTATCTATCTATAATAACAAACTGAAAAATGCCAATTGCACTTTGAAAAATTGCGTCTTTTCAAAATTTATGGTTGTGTCTTTTTATTATAAATAGTTGCATCTTTTCACTATAAATGGTTGCGTTTTTTCATCATATGAATAAGAACAAGATTAGTAGGTTATTGTTGCTATTGTTTTTTAAAAGTGGGTTATTATAGATCATTTTCCCAATAAACAATCTATTGCATTAGCTTATCTTACAAATGTAAGCTGAACTTTTTGTAAATGATAAATAATAACTTGAACATTAGCTAATCTTAATATCTTTTTTTTCTCAGACTTTCTTCGTATACTTATTAATCTGAAAGTTTATTATATTTATCTAATATATCATAGTGAAATATAAAATCTTATATATTTTAATAAATTATAAAATAATTACTATCAAAAATATTAAACCAGAATTTTAATGTTTACTATCATAACACATCTTATAATTATATTAAATACTAAATGATTTTACATTCTAAAATTACTAATGTTTTTGATTTCTTGGCTCAGAAGGTCACACGATTGCGGTACTATTGATTCTCATCAAAAATTCAGCATTGAAGATATATGATATGTCTACTACCAAAAGTGTTATGCGTTGATGTTTTCTCAATGTTTGAATAAGATACTAAAATTTGAGTGTTACCTTGATTTTCTTAATTTATTTTAATTTTCAAACCAGGATTTTTCTTAATCTTTTCTTTTCAAAACATGATGCATGTCATATTTAACTAAAAGTTTCTTTAATTAAAGTTTATATATTTTTAGATTATTAATGTTTGATGTTTTTGATAAAAATAATCTAAAAACTAGTATTTTGAAGATTGTACGGATTTCTGATACAATTAATTTTGTATCAAATGGAGGACTTTTTGAAGTTTTTCTCAATATTAAGATTATTTAGGTTATTGTTATAATTTACCAATTCTATAGAAAATATGTTTCGGCAGTAAAAAAAACAAAAACTAAAATGGTAGCTTTCTATATATGTTGACTGACTTCTCAGTTTTAGAAAGTCATTTTTATATAATACAATACAACTAAATAGTTTTAATATATTGCAATTAATACATATCAATTTTGACTTTGAAAGTTCATATATGGACAAAATCTAGTAGCAACATAGTAACTTTATAATATATTTGACTTAACAATATCTTGAACTAATTTATTGGTAAAGAAATTCTAGTATGTATATAAATATGCACTCATATGATTTTGAAAAAAAAATTAAAAAAAACCCTCAAAATATAACAGAAAACATAGCCTACAGTTTATTCTATCTAGTTCTGCGGGAGTATTTATCTATGGGTTACGAATCCAAAAGCTAAAAACAAAACTGTATCGGAAGGAGAAACATCAGGTACGAGTTTTTTGGTTCTTTAAAATATTTATTTTTCCTCTCGATAACAATAATTTATTCTTTTGTAGAATTTATCAGTGATCAATTTTTTAGCTTTCCTGATTTATTCACGCATTTATCTAATGTGATATAAAAATATGTTTAGAATGGATGATTAGCATATATACATATCATTACCCTAAAAATAGCCATGAAAAAGTATCACAAGTATAATTTACCTAAAATTAACATATACTATGGTGATTAGTATCATTATAACTTATATAATTTAGATGTTTCAAGGTGTTTTAGAACCCTAAATTATAATAGTGTAGTTTTATTTCTAATTAAATTTTACTGTAATGCTATATATAAATTTTAAAATAAGTTATATTGATATATGAAGTTATCCTATCATTCACACACTATCGCTTCATTAAATAATTATGATATAATATTACATTATTGGATTGGTATTAACATTTTTTATTCTTTTTTCTAATCAATCTTAATAAAAATAATGTTGACTAAGTAATTGAATCAAGGGTCTATTAATAAAGATGAATAATGTTTAATTGTGAAGGTTATAAGTTGTGAAGTTGAGTAGCAAAGAAATGGAGAGGAACCAAAGAAAACGAAAGAAGGAAACTGCGAAAGAATTGTCAATTGCCAAGGAAAATGAGTTAGAGTGGAAACCAGAGCATTGCGCACACCTGAAAGGCAAAGTGATTAAGATTACTAATGAGCAAAGAAATGAGAAATGTCATTACGAGAGATTTAAGTTTCGTGGCGGAAAATATGGACTGGTAAGTCTTGTTTTGTTTTATGATGATACTAATTTAAATGTTTTGACTATATATTATAATTTTGTTTTAGTTTTTAAAACTTGTTTCCGAATACAAAAAAAAATAAACAAAACACAATAAATTATAAAAATATACATGCATTTGTGTATCATTTTTTGACACGAAAAAAATAATTATTAGTTAACAGCTATACTACAACAGATAACAATGAAAAATAATCTACAATCTTTAATTTATATGACTGTTTATATATAATGTTTTAATTAGCTTGTGCCACACACAAGACTTGACTACTATATTAATATTGTGAATTTTTTTAAAATGACCAAATAACCCAAAACTTTTTTTTGGATTTAACTGCTTCTGGAGTATTACTATGGTTATTTACATTAAAGTTATATTTTATTTTTATTATGTTATAGGAGGATTCAGTGCTATTATTTCCAGAGGACGCATCAAAAAACCCATATGTTGCGATCATAAAGGTAAAATTGTAGAAGAAAAAACTTTTTGCATTATTTACAGCTTTTGATTATCATAATCAAACTATTTTCAACAGGATATTTATGTACAAGGTAAGGAAGGATACGTGAAACTAGAAGTCCAATGGTTTTATCATCCAGAAGATGTGGATAAAAAATATATTAGAAATTGGAAATCTAAAGACTCAAGAGACATCTTCTACAGTTTCCATCGCGATGAAGTGTCTGCTGAATCTGTGAAGGATGATTGCTCTGTGTATTTTGTGCCAGAGAATAAGCAAGTCCCAAACCATGGCTTTATTGTGCAAAGGGTTTATAATACTGAAAATAAGAAGATGAGGAAGTTCACTCATCATGATTTTAACGAGCAGCAAAAACAAGAGCTTGATCTTCTTTTAGAAAAGACGATTTCAAGAGTTGGTGATCTTCTTGACATTCTGATGAAGAAACATACTTTTATACCAAGGCATATGGAATTAGTTCCGGAAAGGTTCATTAGAAATATTGAAAGCACACAACCTGAAAGCATTATTGTGGTTAATGCACCAGATCTTTTTGAAGAAAAGACACTTTCATGAGTTCGTGGTCTTCCTAACAACTAGAAAAAAATACACATACTAAATTATAGATTACAAATAAAATATCAAATTATTCAATAAAACTATTTCCATAGTGCTCCCATATATGATCAATCAATGCATTTCGAAGTGATAAATGAGTTTCTTTACTTTTGTATCTTTAGATTATGAGCTAAAAATTGTTAAAATCAGACATTTTCATATATATATATATATATATAATACTAAAATTATATGGACTAAAGTGATAAACAACAAAACTAATATATAAATATTTATATAATATATAATTAGAAAGATTGAAATGCAAATTAAAGAGGTGAAACTTCAAATTTGAAATTTTGAACAGTGAAACTTCAAATTTGAAATTTTGAACAGTGAAACTTTAAATTTGGTGTTTTCACTGTTCAAAACTTCAACCTGAAGTTTCTCTTAAATTACAACAAACTTTATATTTGAATTATAGAGAATCTCTTGGAAATGTTCTAAACCAAAATTAATCTAGATTGCATATTTTGCATTAAGCAAATTTGTTCTTGATTTCAACAAATAAGGGTACGATATTGACTACTTGGAGTCTTTGGATTTTAGGGAAAATCTCCGGCGACTAGAACGTGAGTATCCAAACAAAAAAAAAAAACAAAAACAAAAAGGTCAAACAAACAAACAGTGAGTCATATAAAACAACAAAGAGTCATATAAGTCATTGCACTAACCAATTCTTTTAACTATAGAATTAAAATTTTAAGATATTTAAATTCATTATTAATTGATGTTTATTTTATTTTTAATAACAGATCTGAAGATGTCGAATCGTGAATGTTCATCTACTATCTCCATATCCGTAGTTATTATATACTCCACTAGTAAGAAGACTTTTCCTCTCTATATTTACCAAAACCATTGTCGAGCTAAAACTAAATAACCCCCCACAAAAAAAAAAAAAAAAAAAAAACTCTGATGTCGAAGGCAACCTCCTCCAATGCCACAACGTCAAGACCCAAAGTGTTCATAAACTTTCGGGGAGAGCAGCTCCGACTCAACTTCGTAAGTCATTTAGAGAAGGCTTTGGCAGGAGAAGGAATCAATGTTTTCACCGACAATCACGCGACTTTGGGAGACGATTTGAGCATATTTTTCAAGAAGATCAAGGAGTCGAGCATTGCGATCGCAGTCATCTCAAGCTTGTACTCGAACTCGAAGTGGTGCTTAGATGAGTTGGCAACGATCACAGAACGTGTGGAGGTAGGGAAATTGGTGGTAATACCAGTGTTCTACAAAGTCCCTGTTCACACGGTTAAGAATCAGACAGGAACGTTTGGTGAGAATTTTGAGCTATTAGTGGGAACAGATCATACCAATGAAAAGAAATGGAGAACGGCCCTTACGTTTATAACAAAGAAGAAAGGCGTGAGTATTCATGAGAAGAGGTAAATAATTTTCTTTTTAAATCACACACACACAATTTTTTTTTTTTTATATTTTCTCTAAGCATCGATCACACACACACACACATATGTACATGGACAACTTAAAATACATGCGAACTTCTCTGTTTGTCGGATTACTTTGGATACGCAGCATTACTTGTTTTGCAATGGTCTTTAACAACGAAATCATTTATTTAGCTGATTGGATAACGGATGCGTTTAATAACTCGGTGGCATTAATGTATCCACATGTTCACACTAATTTGTTAATTATAAAAGATGGTGTAGTTTAAAAAATAACTTTTGTAAGTTTGTCTAATATAATCAAGAGGAGTTTAGACGAATTTTGGATGGAACAAGTACGATTTGAGAAGTTTAGATCGTTTAAAAGATGCAGCTTGTGGGATTGTTTAGTAAAGTCCGAAGGAGAAAAATTCAAATGGGACGAGTTTGACTTGGCAATGTCTTCAGTTACTGATGTCATAACCAGTAAAGCAGATATTATTACCTACTAATTTAGGCTATTTCATAAATTGATATTTTCATACCAAAACTAGTTTTTAATTAATATTAACTCTTATGAAAGGGTTTTAATCTTACAATGACCTTTTCAATTTCAAAAGATTGATTTTTGAACTATTATTTGAGAAGCATGTTAAATAAAAAAATCTGATGTGTCATCACCTTAGCAAAAGTTAGTGTAAATTAATGGTGGCATGGAATTGTGACATGACAAATTTTCTAAAATAAATGAAATGTTTTGATTGGTTGAGTAATAATTACGTAAATTATAAAATTATAACATATATACACTAGATTATAACACTAAAAATAATAAATTTAAATAAACAGAAAATAATAATTACTATGATTTCAATTTATTTTTACATATATATTGACAAGATTATATTGTGCAAGGAGAAAAAGAAATAGAATATAGATAATATTTAAAACATATTATAAGAGTTTAATTATTATTTAATAGAACTTTTACATTTGCAATTATATGTTACTCTAAACCCTAGAAAAAACAAAAAAATTTCAAAAGACACAAAACGATATGAAACGTTTGTATGATTGTTGTTAATTAAAATTGTATATGTATAAAACATAATGCTTACATGATAAGTTTTTCAAAGACACAAAAATGATATAAAATATTTGTGTGATTGTCGTTAACTTCTCAAATTGTATATGTATAAAAACATAACGCTTACATATGTATAAAAAATTTATCAATACTTAAATATTACAACTAATTATGTCTATAAAAAAATATATTTGAACATGCGTGCGTGCCAACCATAAAAATAAATATATTTTTATATATTTTAATTTTTTTAGTTGATTTAGTTATCATATTTACACTTTTTATCTAATAAAGTATTTTAAAAATCTAGGTTAATATTTTTTATCTTTAATTTCTATTAAAATCTATAATATTTTTCATTTAATTTATTGTTATTTTAACTATTAAATTTTTATATAATGTTATTATTAATACATGATTAATCATATACAGATAAAATATATTTGATATATAATATTAAATATATATTTTATAGCTCGCACATGGTGCATACCGATCACCTAGTATAAATTAAAATCAATAATTTAAACGAAGATATTTTAATTAATTGTGGAAAGTACAAATAAAATAATCTAAATCAAGCAACACATGTAACTCAAATAAAATGGTTAAAAATAGAGATGAAGAGAATTCAATTATTTTCTGGAATTAATTATGTGTAAGATATAAAAATATATATTTCATCAGATAGCGTAATTATGAGGAGATGGAACACCCCGATATATATAATGTCCAGCCATGGGGGCCGCAAGATAAACTATTTCGATCATGTTCGTTTGCTAATTCAAATGTTTTATGTAGACGAGCCTGTAAACTATGTTTGTTGTACTGCAAAAATGAGCATTATCCAGATATATATAGTATCAATGGGTTTATAAATCTCAGTCAGAAGTTTCTAAAATATTTGGTTGTTAAGTTAGAGTTGATTCATTAAAAACAAATGATCCAGAATAACTCATAATAAAAAATAAGGTGAAATATAATTTAATTAGAGAAATTTTTTCAAAAATAGACCTTTTAAAAATAGTTTATAAAAGCGCTAATTTTATGACTATTTTGATATGCAAAGTAGTGGCAGACTAAATACAGATTAGTAACAAACTAGTTAATCATACATTTAAAATTATATTAAAAATAAATTAATAACTGACTAAATGTAAATCAATAGTAGATTAACAGAGCTATTTAACAGACTAATATACTAAAGGTATAATAGTAGACTCCTCTAATAATTTTCCCTCTGAAAAATCTTTTTTCATAATAAAATTGTCAAATGAACTATTTAAACAAACAAACTTTTTAAAAAATTGAATGATTGATTCGTTATCCAAAAGAAGAATTTAAATATAAATTTTAAACAAGATTTTAAATCCTATTTTTCAACCAAAATAAGATCTATGTTGTTAATCTAAAACTATATACAAAATCGCTTTTTATTACTAAAATCATAAGAAATTATATTTTTCGTCAAAACTTTAAAATTATATTTTCTATCAAAATAGTATTTTCTCTTCAATACTGCAAAGCTCAATTTCCTCTCAAATGCCCAAATTTATATATGCCAAAATTGCAAAATCGTATTTTCACCAAAACTATTTAATTACATTTTTTGCTAAAATTTTCAAATCACATTATACAGCAAAACCACAAATCTCATTTTTCATGAACATTATATAATAGTTTTTTCATCAAAACCGAGAAATTATGTTATAACACTAAAATCATAAAACTTTAAAATCATATATTTTTGTCAAAACCGAAAATCATATTTTTCAGCTATAACCACAAAATTAATTTTTTTTTTCGAAAGCTGCATTTTTTATAAAAAACCAAAAAATCATATTTTCTATAAAAAATACAAAATTATATTTTTTTTGTCAAAACTACAAAATCATAGTTTTTCAGAAAAAAAAAAGCTATTTTCTCCAAAAACTACATGATCATGATTTTGGCCAAGATGTAAAATCAAGTTTTAAAACCTGTGATATCATATGCTAGAACCGCAAAAACTGCATTTTCCCATGAACTTTATCTTTCTTGATTTTCCTAGATATTGTTGATCAAGATTAATGTTTTTTTTTGTGTGTTAACAACCAAAATCAGTTTATCAATGCAAACTTTGATCGCAACTTATAAATTTATTCAAATTATTGAAGTTGTAATATAATTTAGATAAAAGATTGGTATGGTTAAGATATTAAAATCATATAATATATAAAAGTTGATGGCATAGTGCATTGGTCCACATCAGCATATTCATTAAATAAAAAAATGTTAAGTATGATTAGGATAGAAAAACTTGATTTAATTGGTCCATATCAGCTTTTAAATCAAACCAAAAATTATGAAATATAATTAAAATATTAAAAGTTAATTTAACAAATTATGTCCAACAAAAAAAGTAAATTCAATTTAATTTGATTGATCCAAATTAACATATTTATTAAATCAGAAAATGTTAATATGGTTTAAAAATTTTAAAGTTAAATAAAAAAATCAACAATTAACAATACATGTATTAAAAAAAAGTAACCATTATCAACTATCAATTTAAAAAAAAATCTACAACAACTCGATTTAACAATTAAAACAATGAAAACTGAATAAAAATATAACATAAAACTTTTGGAAGACATGATAGAGAAGGAAAAAATAGTTTTGCATGATCATTACAGCTTCCTAACAATTAAATGCAAATCAACATGAATTATAGATTATATATGCAGTAGTACACAACATCAATAAGACTTTCAATAAAAAACTAAATATTTGAACACATGAACCTTAAAAAAAAAAGAACTATAGAAATTCTATGGAAAACAGAAAATAATACCACAATCTTAGCAAGATTATATTTCTATAAATCAAATGTATATTTACGTCAATGTTGGATAATTCGATAGGTGTCATTGTTATTATTTTACCTAATAGTTTTTTTAAAATTTATAAATAAAATAGGATAAATTACACAATATATATTAAATTCTCTTATATAAATGAAAATTTCTATAAATATATAATATTTTTAATAATTTTAAAGATAGTAGCTAAAAAAATTAAATCAAAATATTAATACAGACTCACGCGTAGCACAAGTTATATACCTAGTGATTAAATTAAAACATGAGTATTTTTAATATTTTCTAACTATATGTAAGTAAATTCACAGAAAAATTAACCCAACAAACAAAGTTGCATTTAGATGCATTATCATAATGCACAATCAAAAATGGAAACGAACAACATTCAAATTAATTATCATTATCCAGATACACCATTTGGATGGAGCATCTTGATGTAACTTATAGATTAACAAGAACTCTGTTAAAAATAATGTATAGGGAAATAGTCTGGTCGCTTTTGTTGTTGGCTCACACTTAAGAAACCTTTTAATTGGTCTCTCGAGCTCAACCTTTGTCTCCATATTTTAATGAAATTTTTGGCTTTACTTGAGTTTCTGTCACATATTTTGTAGCAATGAGGTCGAGGTGATCGAGACAATCGTGAGAAATGTAAAGATAAAGCTAGAAGAGCACTCAGCAGATCAAGGAACTAAGATTCGAAGAGACAAAGCTACTGAATCGTCCAAGGAAAAATTAGAAGAAGATGCTGCTGAGAGTTCTTCTTCAAAAGCGTGTCCTTTATTTGGGATCGAAACTCGCCTAGAGCAATTAGAAGAGAAGTTAGATTTCAAATCAAAAGAGGTCACTCGGTTTGTTGGAGTTGTAGGGATGCGTGGTATAGGTAAAACCTCTCTTGCCAAGAAACTGTTGGACGATTGTGGACATAAGTTCTTGCATAGGATGTTTATAACGGACGTCCGCGAAAAGGCAAACGCTCTTGGCGTCTACAGGGTGCATGAAGACCTCCTACATGGTTTACAACAGTACGATAAAAAAGAGCAAAACAATACTGAGTTCTCATTGAAATCTGCAAAAGATGCGCTAAGCAAAAGCAAAGTGTTTATTGTTCTTGACGATGTGGGTAAACAGAGTCAGATAGATGATATTCTTGGCGGACGCGAATGGTTAAGAAACGGGAGCAGGGTTGTCATAATAACGAGCAGCAAGGCCGTGGTCAAGGGAATGGTAGATGAAACTTATCTAGTCCCGGGGCTGAGCGACAGGGATGCATACAAATACTTTAAAAAACATGCGTTCGCCAATGGTTCTTGCGAGACAAGTTTCAAGAAACTTGCAAGAGAGTTTGTGGATTACTCTAGGGGGCATCCATTAGCTCTCAAAGAAATTGGTGACGTGCTTCTTAAGAAGGACGAAGCGTACTGGAGATCAAAGCTTCAGATGCTTGAAAGAAGCCCGATCAGCAACAGGATTCAAGATGTCTTGAGAATCTCCTATGATGGTCTTATCAACGAAAAACATAGAGAAGTGTTCCTCGACGTGGCTTGTTTCTTCAAGTTTGAAGATGAGTATCATGTCAGGAGTTTGTTGGATTCTTCGGTTGATGAGATAAAAGATCTAGCAGATAGGTTCTTGATTAACATTAGTGGCGGGCGAGTAGAGATTAATGATCTGATGTATACACTCGCAATGGAGCTCGATTCTCAGTCATCATCTAAAGAGAAAAGAAGCAGGCGTAGGCTGGTCAACCATAGCGAGATCATCACTGTTCTCCTAAATAAAGCAGTGAGTGAGATTAATCTCTATACTACACATGTTGATTTTTTATGTTATTTTCAGACCAACCCTAACATTAACTTGTTACACAAACTTTCCAGAAAGCAAAAAAGGTCAGAGGAATTTTCCTAGACATGTCTGAATTACCGAAGAAAATGAGCTTAGGCAGTGACACATTCAGAGAAATGGACAATCTTCGATACTTGAAATTCTTCAACTCAAGTTGTCCTAGAGAATGTGAACCTGACTGCACCCTAAGCTACCCGAACGAACTTAACTTCGAGTTGCAAGAGATCCGATATCTCCATTGGCTGAGATTTCCACTGAAGACATTTCCACCAGATTTTGACCCGAAGAATCTTATCGACCTCAGCCTACCTTACAGTGATATTGAGCAAGTTTGGGAAGGAACCCAGGTATATATATCTCATCTTCAAACAATTTAGTATCCATTATCATTAATAAATTGTTGCATTAGCAAATGATTCTTCTTCTTTTTTTGTTTCTTTACATCGGCCACAGGACATATCAAAATTAAAGTGGCTGGATCTGAATCATTCAAGGAAGATGCACACTTTGTCGGGTTTGTCGCAGGCTCGAAACCTTCAAACTGTGAACCTAGAAGGCTGCACAGAGTTGAAGACCGTTCACAAGGAGCTACAAAACATGGAAAGTCTCACATTCTTGAACCTAAGAGGATGCAAGAGCCTCAAGTCTCTTCCACCAATGAACTTGATTTCTCTGAAAACACTCATCCTCAGCGGCTGCTCAAGTCTTGAGGAATTCAGATTCATTTCAGGGAACCTTGAAGAGTTGTACTTAGATGGTACTGCGATAAAAGAACTTCCTTCGGAGATTGGGGACCTTCAAAGACTAGTCTTGTTGACATTGAAAGACTGTGTGAATTTACTGAGTCTCCCAGTATCTATCACAGATCTAAAAGCTCTTCAAAAACTGGTACTCTCAGGCTGCTCAAAGCTTGCGAGTTTTCCAAAGGTTAAAGAGGAGACCTTAATGCGTTTGAAGACTTTACTACTCGACGGGACAGCCATAAAAGAGTTGCCTGATCTTTTGCATCGCCTTAGTGTTAATCAAGGCCCAACTTCTTCTTGGTCACGCTACAATTTGCGCAAATGGCCGCATGGAATCTACGGATTATCGTCTGTGCAGCGTTTATGTCTGAGCAGTAATGGTTTCAGGAGCTTGCCAAGTAGCATCAGTTATCTCTACCACCTCAGATGGCTTGATTTGAAGTATTGTAAAGAACTCATATCTCTTCCAATGCTTCCATCAAATCTTCAACTGTTAGACGCACATGGCTGCACTTCACTTGAAAAGATTGAGAGCTCGTCGGTTCTTTTGTTGGCAGCAGCAGAGCAGTCTCACTCTACGTTTATTTTCACTAATTGTACCAAACTTGATCAGGTTGCAAAAAATGGTGTCGTGTCTTACGTTCGGATGAAGATACAGTTAATGCCAGATGCACGAGCTCACCAAGAAAAGGTATTAAGCTCAGTGATTCCTAGAGCATTAACATCCATAGTATTTCCATTGGTGTAACACTTTTTTTAGCATCTGGCTGATTCTCTTTTGGTATCGTATCTAATTTACAGGGCTCAGAACTCGAAGTTTTGATTAGGATCTGCTTTCCTGGATGGCATTTACCTGTATGGTTCAATTATCGATCGGTGGGTTCAGAGTTAACGCAAACCCTGCCTCGACACTGGAATGAAGATAGGCTTATTGGTATAGCTCTTTGCGCTGTTATCTCTTTCAAGGACAACAAAGCTAAGAAGAAGGACAAGGGAGCTCAGACTAAGGACAACGAAGCTCGGAATAAGGAAGACCTAGCTCAGAATAAGGACAACGGAGCTCAGAATAAGGACGACCAAGCTCAGAACACCCGCCTCCTAGTTAGATGCAGCAGTGAGCTCAAAGAAGGAGAAAAGCCTTTGGTCCAGTTTAGTTGTGTTCTTGGTGGGTGGACCCAACATGGCAAGGATAAAACTCTGAACATCACTGAGCCTTCTGGTCATGTCTTTATTGGATACACTAGTTTGTTAGATACCAAGAAGCAGGACAAAGAAGTGGGATGTGCTGCTACAGAGGCTTCTCTTAAATTCGAAGTGACTGATGGAACAAAACAGATCACAAACTGTGAGGTAATCAAGTGCGGCTTTACTCTGGTCTATGCACCCACTAAACCTGTTCATAGCTTGTGTACTGAAAAACACTTCGACCATGGCGAGAGAACGTCTGATACAACGAGCAATACTGGAGGAAACATCAACCGTGAAGAAAGTCGTTTCCAGATCAAGAATGGAGAAACCTCTGTTTCCTTGGTGGCTTTAAAGATGGGAAACGAGATCACAGAGAAAGTAAAGTCTTTTAAAGCTACAGGAAACGTGAAAGACACCCCAAGCGATGCTAGTTCTGTTGTAGCTCCGTCAAGTAGTAGCGGTAAAGTTCCTTTGGAGGCTAGCTTCAATGCTACTCCACAGGAAAGAGAGGCTGATAACAATACCATTGGTGGATCCATGTCGCCGGGCAGCTTAGAAGGAGGTGAAGTTATTAATGAAAAATCTCCAAAGAGTGATGAGACCAAGCCAGAAGTTGAAACATGCTATTTGAGACATACAGATGATCAGAGTTTAACTAATGGCGCCAAAAAATTATGTGAGAAGTTGGAGAAACCTATACGGCTTGTTTGTCTTGTGATCTCCATTTGCACGGTTGCTGCTTTTGCGCTACCAAAAGAAAAGAGAAGAAGATGAGAAGAATGGAAGAAAGTGGAGAAATCTCGAAAGATGGAAGAAACCAATCAACATGGTGATAACAGCATCCATGGTGTATCGATGTTACGTGCGGATTCTAAATAGAGTAAAACAAGCTCATGCGTATATGATGGGCATGCTCGAGAGAGCTCTAGCTACGAGAGATTACTTAGTTTCACAGAGAACACAACTACACAAGTGTGCAGATGCCAAAAACCTATAGGGCTTCTTTGCCTTTTGAAAGTGAAACACTGAAACCATCGTGCAAAGCTTATACAAGGGAGGTTGGTATTCTAATAAAAAAATAGTCGTCGGTTATTTTAGATTTTGGTTTTAAATTTTTAACAAAATATAAATTTTATTGCCATGTGTTAATTTTTCAGGTGCAACGTGGCGATCAGCTAGAGAAAGTAGCCAGATGTTTAGATGTTAATGGTAGAAGAAAATGGATCGGCTTAAGCAATGGGCCAATTAGAATATTTTGCAAGCGCGTTATTTTACTTATCGAGACAATAAATCTCGACCATTAGATCGTTTAATCCGATGGCCATAATTAACGTTTTGGAAGAACCTAGATCTATCTCCGGATATTTTTGGAATCTAGAGTAACATATATAATTTCATTCCGAGAGCCCATATTTCCAAACATCGGTCAACTTCGAAGTACCAAACACAGTTCCCATCTTTGCTCAAACAGTTTATTTCTCTTTCAGATAATTTTTTTTGCCCAAACTGTTTCATATATTCTCCTTTTAGATTTAGAACAGATTTGCTTACTCCTCGTTTGATTTTACTAGCAAATGTGAGTGAGAGACGGAAAATGTTATTATGAAGGTACAAGTCCGTGACAACGCACGTGCTCTTGCCCCTCCTTCGTTGTACACGATGAACGTGCGGCCGCAACATCAGGTGTTTGTCAATTTCCGGGGAGACGAGCTACGTTGCGGTTTCGTCAGCCATCTCGTGGAAGCTCTTAAGAGGCATGGTACCAACGTTTTCATAGACAAATTCGAAAAGAAAGGCGAAGATCTCACCAATCTCTTTGTCAGGATCGAGGAGTCGACCATCGCTTTGGTCATATTCTCCAGGAGGTACACGGAATCGACTTGGTGCTTAGACGAGCTCGTGAAGATCAAGCAACGAGCAGATCAAGGTTTGCTCAAGGTGCCTCTCTCTCTCTCTCTCTCTCTCTCTCTCTCTCTCTCTCTCTCTCTCTCTCTCTCTCTCTCTCTCTCTCTCTCTCTCTCTCTCTCTCTCTCTCAACTCGACCCAAGACTGATTTCGTAGTTTTCAGGTCATTCCCATCTTTTTCAAAGTGGAACCAGTCACCGTGAAACAACTCCGGGGAGCATTCGGAGATCAGTTCAGGGATCGAGTGTGGGAATATCGATGCGATAAACCCAGAGTCCAGAGATGGAAGGAGGCTTTAGCATCTCTCTCTTGCAAGATTGGTCTGACCTTCAACAAGAAAAGGTAAATTTTCAATCTTAATTAAATACCCCCAAATGCTCAAATCTCTCTGGTCTTAATTCCCCATTTTGTATTTTTATTTATTTATCATGAGGTCAAATCTCTAAATGCTATCAGGGTTCAATGTATTAAGCTTAGAAAGGTATTCATATCATGAGATTACATAACTATATATATTAGAGTTACAAAAATCATGTAATAAATGAGAATAATATACTGTGGAGTGATTGTAGAGATTGAATGATTGTAGGAATTGATATTGTGATATCGTATTTCTCTTATACAATAATGTCTGACCATATTTTTATTTATTTTTCAGTAAGGAAAGTAAATTTGTGAGGATAATCGTTAACGAGGTCGACAAAATGATACGAGGACAAGAGGATTTTGTTGTCAGTCCATCTTCCCGCACAAGAGAGGGCGATGTTGTGCGCGAAAACTCTAACATTGCGAACCAGATTCAAGTGGTTTCTAAGGGTTATATGGAACTCGAAAGCGAGAACAGCGTTCTACGGGCTCAGATCGTTGACCTAAGGGAGAGGCTGCAAGCACAGAACTCTATCATTGACATAATGGAAGGAGCTATGGGAGAGGTTTATACAGTCCCTGATTTAGTGGAAGGAGTTATGGGAGAGGTTTATACAGTCCCTCATTTCTTGACGAACCCTTGGCAGATGTCTTACTCTTCACAGCCAACATTGTCTCCCGCTGATACTTTTTACTTCTAACATTTAACACTACAAGAAATGATGAACATAGTTACAGAAATTTTTGTAACTATGTTAAAAAATCTGTAGCTATGTATCGGTTGCTACAAATTAGTTTCAAAATCATTTTCGTAACTATGTGATTATAGCAAATATTGTATTGTAACAAGTTGAAGCAAAAATGCTACAAATTGGAGACAAAATAATATCGTAACAATTTGAATCAAATTTGCTTCAAAAAAATTTTGTGATAAATTAGCTACAATTTTGTAACAAACAAATTGGTGGCTATTTGTTAGAAATTCCCACAAATTGGTTGTAAAAAAATCACTACAAATATCTACACAAAAAAATATACCAACTTGTTACAATTAGATACATATTAAATATAACAATATAATTATAATTAGCTTCAAATTTACCTGTAATAAGTTGCAACAACTATTTACAATTTTGTAACAAACATATTGTGCCTATTTGTTAGAAAGTCCCACTAATAGATTGTAGAAAAATCACTACAAATATCTACACCAAAAATGTAGCAACTTGTTACAATTAGATACATATTAAATATAACAATATTATTACAAATAGCTTCAGATTTATTGTAATAAATATCAATAACTATCTACAAGTGTGACTGTTACTATTAGCTACCGAAACCTCTAAACTTTTTATGGCTTTTTACCTATAAATTGCTACAGAAAATGCTGTAATTTTTTGCTTTAAATATTTACAGATTCTTTGTGAGAGTTTAGCTACTAAATGGCTAGTGCAACAAGTAGACCTATGCTGCAAATGGAAATATAATTGGCATATATATCAGAATCGCAAAATATGGTCAAAATCTCACCATAAAATGTGAACTTAATAACTATTACAATAGATATTAAACATAAATTACAATAGATATTAAACATTGTTGCAAGGAGAGCAGATTAAGAGTTACAAAAGATACAAACTAATTAATTTTGAAATGTTAACCATTGTTAACAAATCAAACCAAAAAAGATTTATAGTTAGGAGCATATAACCATATTTAACATATTTAACAAGATAAAGTTGAAACACATCACCATGCTGCACCGTTATCACCATCTTAGGTATCGAAACCATCATCCTCACCATTTTCATTATCGTTCTGATTCGGAGGGACAAGCTCATCTGTAGCCATGGGTTCATCCTCTGCAATTCCTGCGAAAGCCCCAGCTAAGCTCTCACTAGTGACTCGAACAGGACCAGCTTCAGAGGGCCCAGTGCGTGGAGTCGACGGCACGATAGTTTCACCCTCGGCCGGCATGTATTTCTTCATATGCTCCACCACAGAGGCCAGCTGTTCTTGCAAAGCAGAAACTTGTCAATGCAAGGAGATTCTAGTCACTGCCCCTGACGAGCTTTCTCCACGCTCGAGTATAGCCTGCTGTCCCCCGAGACCAAAAATACGACCTCGGTTTGGCAATACAACCTAAAAGAAAGAAACCACATTACGTAAGAAGGCCATGTGCAACCCTGAAGTAGTTTGTAAAAACAATATACTCTGTATTTGGGAATGCTTTCTTATTCACAATCGTTGCCTTGTACAAGGTATTTATACATACACACGTTGATCCTTATCTATACATATTTAGGAGATATCTAATACATTATATGAATATCTCTAACTAGTCATACTTATCAAAATATGATAATCACAACCCTATTCTTATCACAATCGGAGTCCTTAATACTCCCCCTCAAGTTGGAGTGTGTAGGTTCGTAACACCCAACTTGGGCAACAAAACGTTAAACTGTGGTCGTCCAAGTGCTTTTGTTAATATGTCTGCAATCTGGTCCTTTGTACGAACATGGTGTGTTGAGATGATACCGTCACGGACTGCATCACGAACACTATGACAATCCCACTCAATATGCTTCGTCCTTTCATGAAAAACTGGGTTTGCAGCAATGTGTATTGCAGCTTGACTATCACAATAAAATGGCACCGGTTTCTTAACTTCAACACCGAGATCCTGCATGAGCTGAATGAGCCATTTTATTTCACGTGTAGCGACAGCCATCGCCCAGTATTCAGCTTCAGCAGAGGAGTGTGAAACTGTGTCCTGCTTTTTCGTTTTCCAGGAAATTGGAGAGCTACCCAGAAGTACTACATACGAACTGAGTGATCGGCGAGTAAGAGGACACGATGCCCAATCTGCATCGCAGTAAACGGAGAGCTGAAGGTTGTTATCTGAACGCAAGAGAACACCTTGACCTGGAGAACCTTTTATAAACCTAACAACACGCAATGCAGCTTCCAAGTGTCCCTCACGTGGGGCTTTCATGAACTGAGACAACAGATGAATAGCGTAGCACAGTTCTGGGCGAGTAATGGCGAGATACACCAATCGACCAACCAACCGGCGATAAGACTTTGGATCAGATAAGAGTGGGCTCTCATCCAACGCAAGTTTGTGATTTTGCTCAACCGGAGTTAAAGCTGGCTTTGCTCCGAGAAGACCTGTGTCACTTACAATATCCAAAATGTATTTTCTTTGTGAAAGAAAAATACCTTCCTCTGAACGTGCTACTTCTATTCCCAAAAAATATTTGAGTTTTCCTAAGTCCTTCATGTGAAAACAATCACCCAAATAAATCTTGAACTTGTTTAGCTTTTCGAGATTATTACTTGCAATGACTAAGTCATCCTCATAAACTAAAACTCGAATTTCAGTCTCTCCACGTGTGAATGTGAACAATGAATAATCAGAGTAGGACTGTGTAAATCCGAATTCCAACAGAGCTTTAGAAAGCTTTTCGAACCAACAACGTGGGGCTTGACGGAGCCCATATAGTGACTTGCGCAGACGGCAAACTTTGGTGGGGTCAGAGTGTGTAAAACCTGGAGGTAACTTCATGTACACTTCCTCCTTAAGGTCCCCATGAAGAAAAGCGTTGTGGACATCCATCTTGTGGACCTCCCATCCTTTCGCCGAGACAAGACGTAGAAGACTTCGAACTGTACTCATCTTCACCACTGGAGCAAAAGTCTCGTCGAAGTCTTCACCTTCAACCTGATTATTTCCCATCACAACAAGTCTGGCCTTGTGTCTCTCTATTGTGCCATCAGCGTTATATTTTATCTTGTAAACCCATTTCGACCCAATAGCAACTTTACCCGGCGGAAGCGATTCAATATCCCATGTATGACTATCTTGAAGGGCTACTACTTCATCAGTCATGGCATGATGCCAAACTTTGTCTTTGATAGCATCAGAATATCGTTTTGGTTCAATGCCTGCAGTTACTGCTGCAAGAAACGCTTGATGGGAAGAGGAGAACACAAGGTCAGAGACATAATCATCTAAAGGATACGGTGTCTTACCAGAAATTGTTTCAGAGGACGATGAGAGGGGACAGTGCGAAGCGAGATGGGGATCTTCAATGCAGGCGGCGTTGTAAAGTACATAATCGTTTAGTTTGAGAGGAAGATTACGTACTCGCTGGTCTTTTCCTGTTTCGTTATTTGTATCCACAATCGGTGCTCGTGTTGGGGAAGACACAATATCTGGAGAAGGCAAAACTTGTGACTCAAGTAAACTTGGCACAATCGGAGTCAACTCTGGAACAGAGGATGGAACAGAATCAGAAAAAATTGCAGGTTCAGTATTAACGACAGAATCCAGGACTACTGGATCAACATCCTTGTCTGAGCTTCCCCTTTCGTTGCAATCCATAGTTGAGCTCTCCACGGCCGGAGCACTGGCGTTGTCGGAGCTCCCCCTGTCGTTGGTATCCATAGCTGGCATCATTAACCAATCATCATCGACAGGAACTGCAGGAATTGGTAGATGCTGCGAAGATTCAGACGCGGAAGTAATAGGAGCTAGCATCGGGAATTCATTCTCATAAAACACAACATCACGAGATATCAACATTTTCTCGTTGTCTATATCAAAAACTTTCCACCCCTTCTGACCGGAAGGGTAACCAACAAATATACACCTGCGACTACGAGCTCCAAACTTGTCCTTATCTCTAGAGCGAAGATGAGTATAGCACAAACTACCAAACACTCTAAGGTGATCATACGATGGCTTTTGACCATATAAAACCTCATACGGAGAACAACCCTTAAGGACATCTGTGGGAGTACGGTTTATGACGTGAGCAGCAGTCATAACAGCTTCTCCCCAGAACTTGATTGGCAACCCAGATTGGAATAACATGGCTCTAGAAATATTGAGTATGTGTCTATGTTTGCGTTCTACACGTCCGTTCTGTTCTGGAGTCACAACACATGAAGTTTGGTGAAGAATACCATTCTCACGAAAGTAACGTGATAAGCACATAAACTCGGTACCATTGTCACTACGGACTACTTTCACTGTTTTACCAAATTACTTTTTGGCCATTGTGCAGAAGTTTGGGAGAACAGTGCGAACTTCTGATTTCTTAAGTAAGAGATATGTCCATACGGCACGCGAGAAATCGTCAACAATTGTTAGAAAGTAAACAGCTCCACACGAAGCTTTGATGCGATATGGACCCCAAATGTCGCAGTGAATCAATGCAAAACACTCTTTTGATTTATTAGAACTTCCATAAAATACTTCTCTAGTCTGCTTTGCCCTAAAACAAGTGTCACACGGACTAGGGATAGCAGGTTTATTCAAAGACGAAAACATTGGTAAAGACGATAAAACCGAAAACGATGGATGACCAAGCCTTTGGTGCCAACGAATCAGATCAGCCGAACGAACAACTGGACTTGCAACTCGATGAACCCTTGCAGCCATGACATCTTTAAAGTAGTAAACCCCATCTCGTTCCTCACCGGCTCCAATCAGGGTCCTCGTGAAACGATCCTGTAAAACACACAACGTATCGGTGAGAAGGGCAAAACAATTTGTTTGTTTTAGCAATTTGGACATGGAGATCAAAGAACAATTAAGATTCGGCACAAATAACACTTTGGTAAGAGTGATATGATCAGATAAAGGGAATACGCCCATGTGTGTTGCATATGTTTTATTTCCATCAGCAAAGCCAACTGGGCATGGTGAAATACTAGACGTATTCTGTAGCAAAGACAGATCTCCTGTCATATGATGAGATGCGCCTGTGTCTAGTATGAGATCACCATGTCTACTCTTACCAATAAGTTTGTCGGAAGAATTAGCCTTTTCTGAAATTATTTGAGAAAGAGCCCTCCATTGTTCTTGTGTAAACTCTGGAAACGACG